ACGGGATTGGGTGGTCAGGCTCGCTGACTTGGTTGACACATGTCATCGGTTCCCAGTTGTGAGGATCGATGCTAATATGCTGTTGATCACTGGATTGTCTGATTATTTAGAGACCGCCGCCATATAAACTCATGGGCCAAAGAAAGTATAGGACTGGAAACATTATTTTTTCACTGCCATTGACATGGCTATGAGAATTAGACATGCTGGCAATGTAGGCCCCACTACAGGGAAGGGAAATACACCGCCAAACCGCAACACGTTCGAACGGTGCCCCTAGCACATAATGCACGTGCAAAGTTTCGGTATAAATGCAATGCATCGGTCCCGTCATATCACAGCTGCTGAAAACACATGAAAAGTATGCCACGACTGACGCCAGAACAGAGAGAGGGGGCCATAGGGATGTCCGATATGGGAGCGACGAACGTCAGAATTGCAAGAAGATTTGGTTGTACGCCACTGACGATAGCAAGACTCCTCCAACGATTCAGACAGCCAGGTCGAACACGGGACAGGCCGAGGAGTGGACGTCCACGTGTAACCAGCGCACGTGAAGATCACCATATACGCCTGATACACCTCCGAAATCGATTTGTTACGGCAACGTCAACGGCCGAAACAGCGTTGGGACGTCGCATCAGTCGAAGGACTGTCCTCAGACGTTTGAGAGCAGGTGGAATACGTTGCTATCGACCATTCCGTGGAATGAGACTAACACAACAACATCGACTTGAAAGACTGCAATGGGCAAGACGAGTATACCGCTGGCAAGTGCGTGACTGGCGGTCCTCTTCACCGATGAAAGTCGGTTTTGTCTGCACAAAAATGACGGCCGACAGAAAGTTTACAAACGATGGCATGAACGTTTTGCAGCAGCATGCATTCAAGAAGTCCATGCCTATGGTGGAGGTGGTGTGATGGTATGGGGTGGCATTATTGGCGACCAAACGACACCCTTGGTCGTTATTCAGGGGAATCTCAATGCTAACGAGTACCGAAATCAAGTCTTGCAGCCTGTTGTCTTACCTTTCTTGAACAATCAACCAGCAACTCCCCATACAGCAATAGCGACGAGAAACTTTCTTAATCAGAATAACGTTAATGTTCTACCCTGGCCTTCTCGATCACCAGATATGAATCCGATCGAGCATTTGTGGGATCATTTGGGAAGACAAATTTGTGGTCGTCATCACCCTCCACAGACAAGACAAGAGTTGGAAGTGGCACTGAGGGACGAATGGCAGCGACTGCCAAATGACGTCATCCCACGCTTGACGTCATCGATGCGACGACGTGCACGAGCGTGCATCGGGGCTGCTGGCGGACACACACGCTACTGACGTTGTGATCGTTCTGGAACAAACTTTTCTGTCTTTTGTGTGCGCAATTCGTCAAAGGAATATCATTGTAACTTTGATATTTACCCCCTGACTGTTTGAATGTCAATGTCACCTTTCAGTTCTTTCAACCAGGTGATGATTTGTACACACAGCAAAGTGCAAATGAATTTGCTACAAATTACATCTATTACATAATCCAATTCTTGTGTTGTTTCTGTTTTACTGATCTTCAAAATGACCTATACTTTCTTTTGCCCATGTGTTTAGCTGGAATATTGCTAAGTGTGGCGTAAAACTAAACTTACTTACTCTGACTAAATTGGGATGTATATTTAATTTAAACCCCAGAGGAAGCGGTTCCGGTACGAAGAAGGGACGTAGCACCGAGACACTTAAATCAAAAGAATTTATAGGTTTACAAACCTCATAATACAATATCACGGAAGGTTTGAGTCTAATTTTGCAGCGATATCAGTCCAAGAATCCTGATTGCGACGTCAGCCCAATTTCACATCACCTTGTATTTGCTTGCAGAGGACCCCCGTGAAGATTCGGATTACAATTGATATTCAGCAACCCGCGTCGTCGTAAGTGGTGACTGAAGGTATTGAGTTGATGTACGTCATAACAGATGTTACCTGTGCCCTTCGTGAATCGGGTGTTATTGGCACAGAAACCTTTCTTACAAAATGTTGGATCCATCCCTGAATTTAACACGTTCAAAGAAACGTGCTCATTAAATGGGTATTTAATCACTGGATTTTCTGGTTCAGATTCTATCATATGTTGACCGCCTTCCTATAGCTGCAACATTGTTGAGAGAGGCTTTAAACAAGAAGCAAGAAACACGATATTTTGGCAGTTTCCTTGTTACCGTCCGGCGCCATGTTAGTTCCCAGTCCCATACCATGTTAGAGGTAATTATTGTGTAATATCGTCTGGTGGCTCTGCCATCCCGTGTGTTATTACTCGTGTGTTTCCAGACACTGGTTTGTCAAGGCCATGCTCCTTTATAGACCACCGTGATAAAAATAGCAGCATGTCATAAAGCTGCTTATTGGGTATTCATGCTCTCATATGGATGTTTGTGTTCATTGGTTGACGAAATACTAAACCAGAGCCCTGTACGAATGGGTAACTCCCACACTTTAACATATTGGGCACGCGGTAGTTGTACTGATCGCTATTGGAACGGGCTGGGGACATACCTGACCGTCCCTCGTGTGAATATATTGGTCAAATAAAATGATACTGATGGAAAGAAATAACGAAACGTTTTCAAAGGTGGTCGTGAATCCGCTTTATATTGAATCCCGTACATGGGTTCAGCTGATCCCATGTCATCTTAACACCATTGCAAGGGTCGATGCTCATAATATAGACCACTGGATTATCAGGTCAAGTTTTGGATATATATAAATAGCCGCCTTTATATATTTCCAGTTGGACATTAATCGTGTAAAGTTGCAAAGTTCCATCTTTGAAGTTTAACGAGAAGAACGATCTAATTGTCATCATGCAACAGCTACAGGCCCTTCAGGTAGATGGTCGAGTAACACGTTATGTAATTAGACGGCCATTATTTGATTAATCAAGGTAGCTTTGAACAGGTAAACAGAAACGAGTTCCGGAAACAAGAATATGGAGCACCGTGCGTCTTAAGAATAGTTAGATGGAATATTCTATGATTGAATGTTTCCAAATACACAAAGTCACTCTTTTCTTTCTTGAAGAGATTTTCACAGAATCCTTTACCTGGCTGAAGGTAATGCAAGGGACGTTTACAATTATAGACAGCTGTTCTGTTTTATAGTTACACAACCACGGCTGTATCGAATCACTCCGTCATACACACAATCCTATGTTCTAAAAACACTCCCGCCTTTTCTGGAGAGGGCAGGTCACAAATTAATATGTGAAGAGCGACGGAGAAGTAGACAAAAGAGTGAGTGAGTTGGGTTTAACGCCATTTTGAACGATGTTCCGGTTACATCACGGCTTTGGGGCTTGACGTAGAAGGAAAGCTCAAAGTGATACAGGACTCCGGTGTGAGACCAACAAGTGATACTTACAAACCAAGACACAATCAGGGCGAATCTGGGTTTGACCCCACAGACACAGGTTTCTGGCAGCCTTGTCAGGCCTACAAATGTCACTTCATATGCCGATTAGCCCAATCTGTTTATTAGCCTCCAGCTCAACGCCACTTCAGATCGACTCGCGGCAGATAGCTTGACTCTAAACACGCCCACACCAATACCTGAACACCTGTATGGCATATAATTGCTTCATCTCTGCAGGGTATGTCGAAATATATTCTTAATTCAATAAATATTGGATTTTTATTGAAACCAATAAACTTTGGTTAAGATTTCCCAAGGGTAATGTATCATATTTTCATATGTCTCAAAAGAACAATCACCTAGCAGTATGCGTGACGTCATAATGCATTGCTGCACAGGTGTGCGCCTCTAATCATTGGCTACGGCTTGTGCTCTCAGACCAGTATTTGCGTGGCTGTGTGCACCGTGTTGTAGGACATCAGATCGTACACGTCCACTTACATGCTTCATTTACCTTATCCCCGCCAACAATTATTGTGTCATCAAGTATTTCCATCAAAGCACACGCAGATCGATAGATCGATATCTCTTGTCAGATCATACGTTTTGCACGGAATGTATGTGGCGTTATAAGCCTATAACAGCCCCTCTGGGTCATACAAGCGTTCAACGAGCATTAGGATATCTTTAATGCAGTCGCGACCATCTGAATCCGTCTGTTCTTTATCTGTTTTCATCCCTTTTTACGCAATTCATTCATTGATGTATATACTTACTGTCCTAAAAATAATCACCAATAAATTGCGACAAGGCTGAGAAAGGCAGACATTAGAGGGAGAAAAATGCTCATTTATATTCTTCTTAGCTCGCACGTTTTATGGGAACCAACAAATGACGTAATTTTCCAATGATTGTTTAACATTAGAAACTTGAAACAATACCATGAACCATGTCATTCCAATATTTCTTCTAAGTCTGATAAAATATGTTTGGGAGACATTTGGTTTTGAATGACTTGATGACACTGATATTGGCCTGAATTCTCATCTCAAATGCGGATCCAGAGGCGTGTGCGTGCGTGCGCTCATGGGTGCTTAAAATCAATTTTTCAAGAAAGGGTTAGCCAAAAACAGTACGAGTTTTTACGGGCCTGTTTGTGATCAGGTTCTTGCAAAATATTTAATGCCTGCCGCCTCGTTCTTCTTACAAAAACAAAAACGTCGGTAACTCAATACAGATCCGACGGCAGTATGGCTTAGGGGGTTGGGGGTGGGGGGTAATGTTGATTTAAAGGCTGGGGTGGGGTCACCCATTTTGTTCTGGGGAGGTAGGCGGGGTCATCAATTTTGTACATAAAAATATTTAAAATTATGCTTAAAAATATTGGAAGGGGGAAGGGTTTTGATTTTGTACATGACATGCAGGGGGGTCACTTACTTTGTACATAAATTTTAGTGGGGGTCAGTCACATTGTACATGCTTCTCCATAAAAATCATCATCACCCACCTAGCCACAGTCGGGGCAAAATATATATTTATTTCTAGTGGTACACAAAAAAATGTAAGGTAACCAGAGTAGCCTCCCTTTGTAAACATTTAATACACATGTCGGTGTGCATACAAACGATCTCTTGTGAGCAGACATAATGTCGTTGTCGAGAAATATCATCAAATTTAACACGCATACGTCAGCAAGAGATAAATTCTACAGGTAAAGTCATAATCGACACATAATCATCCACTTGGCAATATGCAATAGAGAGGGGAATAAGGTCCTCTTGCGAGATTGGTCTTGTCACGTTTCAACCAGTACGTGTCCAAAGTACACATTTAAGAAAGTCTCGTTGATCTTTTTCGAATATACGCAGTCTTGCGGAATTTAAAGGGACTGTGCTCAAAAGCGGTGTGCCAATTCCACAAGCTGTAACTAGAGCCTAACCTTACCTTATGTTTAATTGAGTTTCATGTTTAAATTTTAATTAAACGGCGATCAGTCTGTAGACAATCAATACTGGACGAGACAATCCGATGATTGACATCATGAGCATCCATCTATGCATTCGAAATATGATGACATGCATCAGCCATCCCCAGCCTTAACACTGCATGTTCCTTACAGGGGTGGAAATAACCCATTGCCCGACGTCCGAGTCCAGTGTTTTTTTCTGCCGGGCAAGCAAATTTGTATATCATGCTGTACCGGTGTCCAATTGACTTTCCAATGTTAATAATGTTGTTTATTTAAAAAATCAACAAGAATCGGCCGGTATAGTGGAAAACTTATCATGGCAAGTGATTTTACATGTGCCACTGTACCGGAGTACACTAGCAATTTTAAAGCTATTTCCACCCCTGCCTTACCATATTCATTTAAGGATAAATCTAGGGGTTGCCAACTATAAGTTAAAGCAACTAATTCTAGAGGATTGTAAATATCTATTATGTATGTCTAGATTTTATTATGCCTTTGGTTGGGAAACAAATTCTATAATCATACTCTCACAACAAGCATGGGTTGCTGAAAAACAATTCTAACGTGCATCTTTATGGGTGTTACAAATGTTTAACTGAGACGTGGAATAATGTAATCATCAACTGTATATAAGCTTAGCTAGCAGGCAAGTTTAGTTTTGAATGATGTAATTTAAACTTCATGAGAATCTGTGCATGAAGCTCATATGCAGATAGAAAGGGTTTGGTGTATGTAGAATTAACTCATTTCTACATGCATGTATATAAAAACACTTCAAAAGAATTTGATAAGAAATCTTCAAATTGTCCGGCCAAATTTAAGCCAACAAATGCAAATGGTGTCTTACACTTTTCGGCATGTGTAACTCCTGCCTTTCCTAAAAGATGTATCTGAGCTTGAGGCTGGTCCTCGTTTTTGTTCGGGAAATATCTATTTCAATGGAAGAAGGAATGGATATACTTGCATAAAGCATGGCCGTGATAATTGTGTACTCTTATCCTGTCCCTGTTATTGCCACTGTAACTTCTACCATTGTTCATTGTAATTCACCATATATTTAAAGGTCACATGCAGCGTAAAACACAACTTTGCAGATTCTGATACCTTTCCATATGGACTTACCGAAACAAATCGTCAAAATGCAAATTCAAGTTATAAAGTTGAAAAATAACGCGATGAAAAAAGCGGCGTGAAATCGAGTTCAAGCGTTTCACTAATTTTCCCCAGACTTTTCTGGGGAATACGAGGTTTCAACAGCTGGGCTGCGTGAATATTCGGTGCAGGCTTTGGTGTGAGCTATTTTCATAATGTTTTGTTGATATCTCACAGGTGGCGAGCTTTTCACCACACGCGTTCTTCTTACCGAGTCACTTTCTCAGTTCGATACTTAAAAGCAATGTCATTATTTAGCTGACACAATTTCTAACTGTGATATAGATATGTCGTTGTCACAGACAAAACTCAATGTCTTGTGTTATTGACACCTATGTGTCTGCCTGCCAGTCTGCTAATGACAATATTCAATACACAACTCACGATCACTGACCACACAATTTGAACTTAACACCAATCAGGCTATACACCATAAACAAAAGCGCATTGATTTATGGCCCGAGTTCGGTCTCTGTCACATTAGGTAATTACACGGACAGGCAGGTGTGATACTTGAACACATGACATGTTATGATGTCTGTTGATTGCAAAATGTTATACACAAAAAATGAGCATGTATTTACAAAACCCAACATCTCTATACATGTGACCTTTAACAGAAACATACATACAACAGTATATGCATGCAATACTTAATGTACATTATTATAGGATCCCATTATGACTGAACATAGCAAATGCTATGTCTGAATTCGAAAGAGTTCCTTAACTTAAAGTATTAAAGCTACACACACAGAGTAGGGCCTATAACAGTTCATCAATACACACTGTATACTCCAGATTCTGAATGGATTATAGATGGTTGCTTTGCACTCGTAGCTCACTCTAGACTCCGCCTAGGACGTAAATTGTCTCAGTGTTATAACATGAACATATCAGTAATTTCCCTCCACGAAACGTAAGTATTCTCAGGGGTGTTTACTGGAACACTATTGACTCATATCTTGTAACAACGTCTAACAACTCGTCTCCCAGACCCTACAGAATAAATTAAAAGTAAATCAACTCAAGCCATGAATTGATGGTTGTTACAGATTTACTCAGTCTGACGTTAAGCATTGTTAATAGCTCAGTAAGGATAAGGCTTGCATATATGTACTCAGAAGTAAAAAAACTGTCAGAACGAATTCAAAATTAGATAGGCACTGTAATCAAATCATTACAGAAATGGACATAATAAGTGGATCTAGAACATTTTTTGTGTGCAAATATCCTGACACATCAATGAATAACTCAGCACAATTCCAAGACATTACGTGAACGTTTGCAGTCCATTCAGACTCTTGACTTCAGTATCTAGTGTGACCACCACGAGCGGCAATAACTGCAGCACAGCGTCTATGCATGGAGTGCACCAATCGATTGATGAAGGCCATTGGAACCTGGAACCACACTCTGATAAAGACAATAAATCGGCTGTGTTCGGCCTTGGTATGACATTATTCAGTTTCCTCTGAATTTCATCCCAAAGATGTTCAATTGGGTTTAAATCAGGACTAAGGGCTGGCCACTGCATAATGTTGACACTGTTCTGCTGTAGGAAGTCCCGTGTAGCTCTGGCAGTATGGGCCCGGGGGTTATCATGCTGGAAAATGTTGTTCCGGTGACGTGCGAAATGTATGACATGTGGTCTGAGAGCTTGGTCGATGTAGCACTACGCTCTGATGCCACCTCCTCTCCCTGGACCAAGGTTCTGGAACACCACAGGACCCACTTTCTGGTTCAGGCCTATTCCACCCCATACCATGATGCTTGCACCTCCCCATGAGTCTCTTTCCATAACACATTGGTCCGAGTATGCTGGCCTCGTCATCGCCATATTCTTGTTCTGCAATCTGCAGTTGATACGCAGTACCGAATCTCATCTGTGAACAGAACAGTTCTCCATTGCCTGTATCGCCAGTTTTGGTGTTGTAGGGCAAACTGTAGACGTTCACGCCGATAACGAGGGGTGAGGATAGGCCCACGGTAAGGTCTACAGCAATGGAGGTTCCTGCTGTTAAGACGTCGGCGTACTGTATCAGTACTGATTGGTCTTCCGTGTGTTCCCGCTTTCTGGCATGCTGTTTCGGATGCCTGCATGAAGGGATTCTGTACATGCTGTCGCACAAAATGGCGGTCTTGTCATCTTGTGGTCACCCTTGGTCTGCCAGTATGGGGCGATCATTTGTGGTGTTGGTGGCCCGGAAACATTGCTGAAGCCTGTAGATAGTCCAAATGTTGACCTGGAAGTGATTGGCAACGGCTTGTGCAGTGTGGCCAGCTTCAAGTCTTCCTAGAGCCTGGTTCCTCTGAGCTGTCGTGAGTCGCGCCATCCTGTCATGTGAATGTTTCAACCAGGTTTGGGGGTTCTTAATATAGGGCTGGTCCTTGTGAACAGCACGTGCAGCATGAGTTGCATGAAAAACATGGAGAACACCGTACCATCTCCGAGATCAGGATGCGTTTTTGAGACCGTTTCCTGGGTTCAATTCTGAGTTTGGGAAGGAATGTCTTTGCTCAGGTAAAGTTGGAGATGTTGTCAAATATATACAATCAAAACATTAAATGAGTTTACAGTTATCCGTTTCTGCAAAGGAAAATTCCAAACTGACGTTTCTTTTGCTGCTACTTAGTATATATTTCAGATGAGATAACTATTTTTCTGTGACTTATTGTTGGGAAATTGACCAGCGGGATGGGTAAAAAAGGTCCCCAGCAAATTATGCTGGTTGAATGAGCTGATTACTTGGATCGGATGCTGGAGCTTGGTGATTTGGTTAGATGGTGTGTCATTGTATCCTGAAGGCTTGGATTGATGGTCAGAATATCAGTCACTGGGGGGCAGTGGGGTAGCCTAGTAGTTAAAGTGTTGGCTCATCACAACAAAGGCCCTTGTTCGATTCCCCACGTGGGTACAATGTGTGAAGCCCATTTCTGGTGTCTCCCGCCATAATATTGCAGGAATATTGCTAAAAGCGGCATAAAACCATACTTACTCACTCACTTACTGGATTATCCTGTGCTGACTTGATTATTTACAGCTGCCATAATATAGCTGGAGTATTGCTGCATATGACAGTAAACAAGAATCAAAGTACTGAAAATACAGCTCTTTGTCAAACCACTGGCATGGCAAGCTGGATCCATTGTCTGTAGACTGTGGCATAAAAGTACATTCACTCACTGCTTCTCTTGTCGAACTCATCTTACACATTACTTATGATTATTTAAGGGGTGGTGGGGTAGCCTTGTGGTTAAAGCATTTGCTCATCATACCAAAGTCCTGGGTACCATATGTGAAGCCCATTTCTGGTTCCCCCACCTTGATATTGCTGGAATATTGCTAAAAGCGGCGTAAAACCACACTCACTCACTATGATTATTTAAAAGATGCACAGAACACAGAAGGAAACACATCCACTCAAGCATGTAAGGGCAGTACATGTCTACCTCTCAAGTGACACATGCAGTAATGATAGACTGTAAGCATGAGCGGGCATGTTGTCTGTGTACAAATAAGTCTTCTCCTTTACCTGAGTCATAGCCCCTTCAGGAAATACCACATCCCTCTCATCCACGAGGATTTTACACCTGAACAATTAGTGCTTATGTAAGCAGGTTGTATTAGAAAACTATATTTAGCTTAACATGTAAAACTACAGGTCTCAGCTATTTGTATGCATGTTCGGTACAGTTATACTAATATTGTACTAAATAACCTGGTTTACCACAAATTTGAAATAACATCTTGTTGGCATTGTGTATTGATTGTATTTCTATTGTTTGGTATATTGATGTGCTGTTTCATTTTTGTTGGAATTAAATTTAAAATTTAGAGAGCTGTCTTTTTGAATAACAAAAATTTTAATAGCAAAAAGATGGAATGAGGAGTTGTTTGATATGATTTGCAGAGTTGTGTCCCTTTGTTGTCAAGATCATGGGTTTGAATCCCGAATTAAATAACCTTTGCTGATAGGTTTCACATACAAGGTGATCATCTCAGTCTTTCCTCCCACATGACAGTTACTGATATTCCATGTAAAGCAATGTTAAATCAAACCTACTCAGCCATGAATACTTTCTTCAGGTATCACTGGCTGTGTAACATTTACCATGTCTACATCATAACAGTATCTGTCATACCTGACTATACGTCAAGTGCTGAAGATCAGGATGCATGTACATGTATACACATGAAGGAAAAAAGGATTGCAACACCTATTGTCTTTAACTCCCATATAGCCATTTATATTCATATAATTTTTTTATGTTGGTTGTCATCCATGGACTATCAGCAACTTAAGGACCGTCATTGTTCAGGTCTGCTACGAATGACAACTCAAGGGAGGATGCAGACCCTCTGAGGAATGACTTCATTCATTCATGTCACAGAATGACTTCCCTGTCGTTATTTGTTCAACAGATTAGTCTGAAATCAACGAAAGATGTCCGCCGTCTGGGTTTTGAGCTAAAGGAACTATCAAACGTCCGTTGTTATCCCTAGAGCACATAGCAGCATGTCTAGCTTGAATCACTTGAATTTGAAGTCATGGGAAAGGGTCCACTGCATCTTCGACAAAATTCCTTTTTTTTTCGTTCATGACTGATGGCCGAACTCATTTTTGGTGCTCCAGAATCACTGCATATACACAACGGAATATCTTGCAGCAAGTATCATTTGGCGGTTAATAATAATAATAGTAACGCGTCTGATATCCAACCGATGCTGCTCAGTGGCGCTTTTACAGGGTCAGTGGAAATACGTAGGTTTTCAGTTGTTTCTTGAAAGAGTCTAGTGAAGTGCAGGATCTAAGGTTGATAGGAAGAGAGTTCCAGAGAATAGGAACGTTGGCTGAGAAGGCTCTGGTCCCCATGGCTGTCTTGGAGTCTGGCACTGAGAGTTGGCATTTGCTCTGTGAGCTGAGAGTTCTGTTTGGTTGGTAGTGATGGATGAGGTCTTTAAGATATTGTGGTGACTGATAGTGTAGGGGTGCCTCTCACTTTACTGTAAGCTTGACCTTGTGATGATCAGACAAAATCTGAATGGGCAATGGTACATCACTAACATCCTAGACAAGGTGGTTGTACCACATTTCGATGACCATCCTCTGAACACAAGGAAAGTATTCTTGGACAAGAATGCTAGACCACGTCATGCACATGTCGTTGGGGATTTCTTATGTCAAGTGGCGGTAGCAACTCTACCTTGCCATCCCAGAAGTCCAGATCAAAATCCCATATTGCATGTTTGGGACAGTATGGGTCACAGAATATGCCAGAGAGATCATCCAATACAAAATCTGGATGTATTGAAACAAGTCCTCCATCAAGAATGGAACTATCATTCTGACAAATAATTTATCTGTCACAGCAACAAGTTTAGAGCAGTGGTCATGGAAAATATAAATGCAAGTAAATTTTTTATTCCCACAGGACGTTCCAGTATGGTGCCAGGCTGATTGCTTGGTATCTTGACACAGGGAAAGATGACCCTCTCATCACACGACTGCGACGAGTGGAAGCAGCACTCTCTTTGTCCAGGAAATGTAAGGTCTTTTGAAAAAATATGATTGCAGTCTTAGTCCTAGCTACTGTGTAGATCATCTGTAGGCATCAAGGGGCAGTTGGGTAGCCTAATCGTTAAACCGTTCGCTGGTCACGCGAAGGACCGGCTCGATTCCTCACATGGGTACAATGTGTGAAGCCCATTTCTGGTGTCCCCCTCTGTGATATTGCTGGAATACTGGGGCGGTGGGGTAGCCTAGTGGTTCAAGCGTTGGCTCGTCACGCCGAAAGACCCGGGTTCGATTCCCCACATGGGCACAATGTGTTAAGCCCATTTCTGGTGTCCCCCGCCGTGATATTGCTGGAATATTGCTAAAAGCGGCGTGAAACTAAACTCAGTCAGTCAGTGCTGGAATACTGCTAAAAGTGGTGTAAAACCATACTCACTCACTCACTCACACACTGTAAGCATCATCCTGGAGACTCCCTCTGTAGATTCCCCTTCAGATTCCTGTGTGTGGACTCTTGAAATCCCCCAGGCAGATCCCCTCTATAAATCCTCTCTATAAATCCCTTGTGTAGATTTCCTTGTTTGGTTTCCCATGTGGAGATCCCTTCTGTAGACCCCCTGTGTACATATCCCTGTGTGGTTTCCCATGTGGATATCCCTTTTGTAGACCCCCTGTGTACATATCCCTGTGTGGTTTCCCATGTGGAGATCCCTTCTGTAGACCCCCTGTGTACATTTCCCTGTTTGGTTTCCCATGTGGAGATCCCTTCTGTAGACCCCCTGTGTACATTTCCCTTTTTTTTTACCATGTGGAGATCCCTTCTGTAGACCCCCTGTGTACATATCCCTGTTTGGTTTCCCATGTGGAGATCCCTTTTGTAGACCCCCTGTGTACATATCCCTGTTTGGTTTCCCATGTGGAGATTCCTTCTGTAGACCCCCTGTGTACATTTCCCTGTTTGGTTTCCCATGTGGAGATCCCTTCTGTAGACCCCCTGTGTACATTTCCTGTTTGGTTTCCCATGTGGAGATCCCTTCTGTAGACCCCCTGTGTACATATCCCTGTTTGGTTTCCCATGTGGAGATCCCTTCTGTAGACCCCCTGTGTACATATCCCTGTTTGGTTTCCCATGTGGAGATTCCTTCTGTAGACCCTCTGTGCACATATCCCTGTTTGGTTTCCCATGTGGAGATTCCTTCTGTAGACCCCCTGTGTACATTTCCCTGTTTGGTTTCCCATGTGGAGATCCCTTCTGTAGACCCCCTGTGTACATATCCCTGTTTGGTTTCCCATGTGGAGATCCCTTCTGTAGACCCCCTGTGTACATATCCCTGTTTGGTTTCCCATGTGGAGATTCCTTCTGTAGACCCCCTGTGTACATTTCCCTGTTTGGTTTCCCATGTGGAGATCCCTTCTGTAGACCCCCTGTGTACATATCCCTGTTTGGTTTCCCTCTGGTGTGGAGATCCCTTTGTAGACCCCCTGTGTACATTTCCCTGTTTGGTTTCCCATGTGGAGATCCCTTCTGTAGACCCCCTGTGTACATATCCCTGTTTGGTTTCCTATGTGGAGATCCATTCTATAAACTCCCTGTGTAGATTTCCTATGCAGCTGCCAAGTGATCTCTTATGTGGATCCAAAGTGAGATCCTGTTTTTTTATCCCCAAACCCAAATAGCATTAAATATAGTGAACATATAAAGTGAACTATACAAACATCATGACACAAATAGCATTAAATATAGTGACCATGTGTGATGTGTGATCTGACTGGTGATGTGTGATCTGACTGGTGATGTGTGATCTGACTGGTGATGTGTGATCTGACAGGTGATGTGTGATCTGACTGGTGATGTGTGATCTGACTGGTGATGTGTGATCTGACAGGTGATGTGTGATCTGACTGGTGACTGGTGATGTGTGATCTGACTGGTGATGATCTGACTGGTGATGTGATCTGACTGGTGATGTTTGATCTGACTGGTGGTGTGATGTGATCTGACAGGTGATGTGTGATCTGACAGGTGATGTGTGATCTGACTGGTGATGTGTGATATGACTGGTGATGTGTGATCTGACTGGTGATGTGTGATCTGACTGGTGATGTGTGATCTGACAGGTGATGTGTGATCTGACAGGTGATGTGATCTGACTGGTGATGTGTGATCTGACTGGTGATGTGGGATCTGACTGGTGATGTGTGATCTGACTGGTGATGTGTGATCTGACAGGTGATGTGTGATCTGACTGGTGATGTGACTGGTGATGTGTGTGATCTGACTGGTGATGTGTGATCTGATGTGTGATCTGGTGATGTGTGATCTGACTGGTGATGTGTGATCTGACAGGTGATGTGTGATCTGACTGGTGATGTGTGATCTGACTGGTGATGTGTGATCTGACTGGTGATGTGTGATCTGACTGGTGATGTGTGATCTGACTGGTGATGTGTGATCTGACTGGTGATGTGATCTGACTGGTGATCTGATCTGGTGGTGATGTGTGATCTGACAGGTGATGTGTGATCTGACTGGTGATGTGTGATATGGTGGTGATGTGATGACTGGTGATGTGTGATCTGACTGGTGTGATGTGTGATCTGATCTGACTGGTGATGTGATGACAGGTGATGTTTGATCTGACTGGTGATGTGTGATCTGACTGGTGATGTGTGATCTGACTGGTGATGTGTGATCTGACTGGTGATGTGTGATCTGACTGGTGATGTGTGATCTGACTGGTGATGTGTGATGACTGGTGATGTGTGATCTGACTGGTGATGTGTGATCTGGTGATGTGTGATCTGACTGGTGATGTGTGATCTGACAGGTGATGTGTGATCTGACTGGTGATGTGTGATATGACTGGTGATGGTGATGTGTGATCTGACTGGTGATGTGGTGATGTGTGATCTGACTGGTGATGTGCTGACTGGTGATGTGTGATCTGACTGGTGATGTGTGATCTGACAGGTGATGTGTGATCTGACAGGTGATGTGTGATCTGACTGGTGATGTGTGATCTGACTGGTGATGTGTGATCTGACTGGTGATGTGTGATGTATTTCAGTGTTCCGGCTGGGCAACACGGTAGACCTGGCATACAAGACCATTGACTGCTTCAGCATTGATGACTACAGGCTGATGATACTCAGTGTGACTGGCACTCTCTTCAAGTCTGTCTGGCTGTTCCTGGACCACTGTCTCTGGTTCTCCAAGATCGGGGTGCTACAGGTACACGATTCTGAAGTTTAGTTTTACCTTGAACTATGTTAGTTACACCTTGGAGATGCTTGCCTTATTAAACTACATATTAGGTAGATAAACGTTTATTACTTTTGTTCGCTACTGAAGGCTAATTTGGGGTTTTATTGAAGTTGGGTTTAAAATCTAATCTGTAATTAGGGTGGCGTAAATTGAAAATCCACAAACATGATTAACTGATGGGCTATTCCACCTAATTGCCATTACATTTATGTCAGAAACAAAGTATGTTATAAGTTTGATATCAGCCACGAGTAAAATAGTTAGTTTATGGTTAACTGAGTCAGTTTTTATTATCCTTTCAGTATGTGATTGTCTATAAGCCCATGCAGCTCTAGAAAGGTTTAAGTTTAAGTTTTTATGTTAATTTACTTCAGCTGAATCATGTGACTCAAAACATTCTACAAGTACATAGAGGGACCAAGTTAACCCATAAAATCATTGTGTAGAATACTTGAATAATTGAAAGTAAACACTGACTGACATAACAATCTGTACTATATTGCAACGTCCTTTCACATCACAAGGGCACAGGACATTGTTAAGCACTGCTGGTCTACAGTATCATCCAGTGTGCTGTCTCCATTCTGTTACTATTCCCTGAACCAGTCTTAACAAGGGTGTGGTGGTGAATGGGTCCAGGAGATATTCATCAGTTTAGAATGAAGTTATATTACTCTGGGAAAATATATACAAAACACTGTGTGTAATGGTAAGTCATACCTGTTATTTCGGGGTTAATAAAACAGGAACTGACCCAATTCTGAAAAGTAGTTTACAAAAATCAACTTACTGTTTCATTGTAGTTAATGCGTGTACATGTGGAATGTTACTGTTACAGATTGACCAACCCATGTGGAGCAAGTGGGCACTGAGGGTGTGGCTTGTGGCACTCGTCGCTTCCACAGCTGCCGATATCAAGAAACTCAAAATTATTAAAGCAAAGCTTGAGAAAGAGATACGGCTGAAGAGGAGAGTTGAGGGAGAGAAAATATCCCCTGAAATTCAAACTGAACTTCATAATGTACAGACAAATTTTTATAAGGATTTCTGTGATATGTTTATTCCCTTGTCAGGCCTGAATGTGTTCAACCCGGGAGTTGGGGCACTCTGTGGCGTGATTTCCTCACTGGTCGGCTTCCAGCAGGAGTGGGAAAAGCACATCACACCCTACACACCCACATTATGATGGGGAGAGAGGGGGGAGGGATTAGGAGGGGAAGGAAGGTCAAGGAGCGATGGGTCAAGAGAAGAGGGAGGGACATGGGGGAGAGAGGAGGGAAAGTTCAGTAAGGGGGGGTCAGAGAGAGGGGAGGGAGATGTCAGTAGGGAGGTAGGGGCAGTTGGAGAGGGAGGGGTCAGGAGGGAGGGAGATGTCAGTAGGGAAAGGAGGGGTCAGGGAAGGGAGAGGAGGGTCAGAGGGGAGCAAGAGTCAGGAAGGGGATGGGTAGGTTGGTGGTTGAAAGTTGTCTAAGCCGCAATCTGTTGTACATATAATGAAGTCATGGTCTGGCAAACCAATCAGCCACATCACACAGTCTATTCTTTCTTCAGTAATCAAGCATAATAGGAGCGATCAAAATACAGATTTGAACTGTGTATGAGAGAGTGGGAGGGAAGGATGAATGCGTTTGTGAACAAACATCAACCTTTATGATGTCCATTTTAGTACAAAGCTTAGTCTTATGATTACTGGGCATGATTTTGTTGTACCATTATACAACATGATACTGCTGTACCTTTATACAACATGGTACTGCTGTACCTTTATACTACATGGTACTGCTGTACCTTTATACAACATGATACTGTTGTACCTTTATAAAACATGGTACTGCTGTACCTTTATACAACATGATACTGCTGTACCTTTATACAACATGGTACTGCTGTACCTTTATACAACATGGTACTGATGTACCTTTATACATGGTACTGCTGTACCATTATACAACATGGTACTGCTGTACCTTTATACAACATGGTACTGCTGTACCTTTATACAACATGACTGTGCTGTACCTTTATACAACATGGTACTGCTGTACCTTTATACAACATGGTACTGCTGTACCTTTATACATGGTACTGCTGTACCATTATACAACATGGTACTGCTGTACCTTTATACAACATGGTACTGCTGTACCTTTATACAACATGGTACTGCTGTACCTTTATACAACATGGGGCTGCTGTACCTTTATACAACATGGTACTGCTGTACCATTATACAACATGGTACTGCTGTACAACTATACCAAATGCTACAAGGTACCATTACACCACATGGTATGGTTGTACCATTATGTGTGACACTGTCATGTTTACAAGAGGACTAGATGGTGTTTCAGGAAGTTCTTTAATGACGCATGTGCAGGTTACAAGTTCCGCTTACCAGTTTCGCATAGTTAAGGAAACGCTCATATAATATAACTATTCAGGCCATACATAACAGCACTATAGTACCATCATACCATATTGACTATATAGTACCATCATACCATATTGACTATATAGTACCATCATACCATATTGACTATATAGTACCATCATACCATATTGACTATATAGTACCATCATACCATATTGACTATATAGTACCATCATACCATATTGACTATATAGTACCATCATACCATATTGACTATATAGTACCATCATACCATATTGACTATATAGTACCATCATACCATATTGACTATATAGTACCATCATACCATATTGACTATATAGTACCATCATACCATATTGACTATATAGTACCATCATACCATATTGACTATATAGTACCATCATACCATATTGACTATATAGTACCATCATACCATATTGATATATAGTACCATCATACCATATTGACTATATAGTACCATCATACCATATTGACTATATAGTACCATCATACCATATTGACTATATAGTACCATCATACCATATTGACTATATAGTACCATCATACCATATTGACTATATAGTACCATCATACCATATTGACTGGGGGAATTTGTTATGCTTCTTTCTTCTACGTCTATGAGTGCCTTTTGAATCGAAATACATATATATTTTGTATATTCAGATGTAAGTAGTCCAAGAAATATAATGACTACTGCTCAGGGATCTCAGCTGTCTTTGATTAAGTAGATATTCACATAATGGAACTTTGTCATATCTGGAGGTGGTCTTCATATTCTATAGTGGGAAGCTTCGTATTCTATAGTGGCAGTGATTCAGTCTTCTATGCATAGTCACTGGAGAGAGATCCCAGTTGCAGCAGCTGCCGAGACCTGATGAACATTGTTGCTGTAACCAGATACAGTCAATGATTTGCTCCATACATGCATAAAATAAACAGATGTTGGTATTTTTTCTCTGCTTTTTAAGTCTTATCACATAATTTTATACACTGATAAATGTGGGGATGTTCCTCAAGCCCTGAGCTTATCATCTGTTCGGGTTATCTGTGCACTCTCTCCTACAGCACAGGTACATTGTACTACCTCGATTGATGCTTAGTGACCAGCTGCAAAAGATGCTGACACTTTTGGTCAAATATGGAAATGACTAGGTACTACTGTAACTCCCACAGCTGTATTGCTGGTATGTGAGGCCAGACCAATGAAAACTTGGTCAGGACCATACCACTTGCACAGTTGGACCAATGATAGCATGGTCAGGAAAATATGGTGATCGGAACAGCTAGATATTGATGGCATGACTCGACCAGTAATAGAATGGACAGTCTGTGCTGGTGATGGGCATGGCTCGACTAGTGGTAATATGCTCAGTCCTTGCTGGTGATGGGCATGGCTAGACTAGTGGTAATATGCTCAGTCCTTGATGGTGATGGGCATTGCTAGACTACAGTCCGTTTGAGTCAGAAACGGACCGATGAATTGCAAATTTTATCATTGTACAAAATTGCCACATAAATATAAATAGTACACATGTTTATCATTTACTAATACCCAACAGCTTTCTGATATTTGAAATTTTCCGGACTCCACCAAAAACCCTTTATCATACCGGTACTAGATCCCATTGTCAGAAACTTTACAGGGGAGTCTCATATTGGTGTAAATAAGAACAATCCAAAATTTCATACTGATATCTTGAATGGTTCCAGAGATACAGGTATGTTCCCATATGGGAACATTGGCAGGATCATCGTGAAAACAAAACAAAATTGAAAATTATAATATAAATTGTATATTTATATACTTATCCTATCTCACGACTTGCACCTCTCTCTCTCGTTTCAACTTTTAGTGGAACGACTGTAAACTTTTTTCCATAGGCCTCCTTGTCCATTCGCCTGTGCACTCCATGCTGCTCTCCTTAATTAGCTTCCTAGTTCCTAATAAAGCTTGCAGCATGCTCCACTAATTGCCCACGTGACTACCTTGAATGATCATTCTCATCTTGGAGCCAACGTTGTAATCTGAGTAGTGGGGAGGCCGGGCAGGCATCCATCGCGTGAGATAGGATAAGTATATAAATATACAATTTATATTAGAATTTTCAAATTTTTAAACTTATCCTATCTCTCACGACTTGCACTTATCCCACAGTTGGACGGCGGGCCGCAGATTACCCTTTTGTCTGGACAGTGCGAACAGCTGGTCTTGGAGCTGTGTGGACTGATGACAACCGTAGATAGCGATGTACAAGGGAGGCCTGTTACGCATGCACGCAACTCCTATGCTTGTAGTGGGTTCTCTGGACCCCTTGGCTTACTAAGCACAACGACTCCCAGGGAAATGGGTGCTCCCGAGCGATGTGGTGTTCGGCCGCAACATTGTACAAGACAAGGGACGCAACTCGGCAAGTAGGCCTCGCCTCGCCACGATTTACAAGGTACCCCCGTAATTAAAGTCTTGCGACTAGAATCGGGCCAGCCCTTGCTTCAAGAAGGCCCCCCTGACACCTACTGAGGCGGGTGAAAGAGAAACACAACTCTGCATCTCCAAGTTTTAACCTTCAGTTCCGGGCAGCATCAAATTGACCCTCACTCCTTTGCCTAAGCTTAGTCAAAGGATGTGCCCAGCAACTTCGGAGGCAGAACGCAATGAAATCCACTGGAATTCAGGAGTGTCACACTTCACTGACATAATTGCTCCGTGGAGTAGAGGTCAGTAAGCGTGAATGTCAAACACCTCTGCATCGTCATACTGATTGTGCCTCAGGTCCGTAGGGCCACGCTAGGTGGCCGTATTCCGATGCCTTGGTATGGAGGCCAAGTGAAGTAGTTCTTAAACCCATATAATGAAAACAAATGGTTGAGATCCAGTTCAACTTTTATTCAGTATAGCCGAGAAACTCAGCAACGACCTGAGCAGAGGTGGAAGTGGGCGATGCAATTCCCCTAACCTTGCAATAGTCTTCAAACTTCTTCCACTTGTTGTCGTACAAGGAACGGGTCGAAGTACGAAGTGCTGAAGTGATAGCTGTGGCCACTCGGCGAGAGTAGCCCTTAGCTATGAAAGATCTCTGAAGATGCGCCAAACGTGTAGATTGCGGGACTGAGGTGACCTGTGGCGCAGTTCCGAGTGAGGGTGAAGAAGTAGGTCGCCCCGGTTGGGAGGCGGTACTGGCTTTGACTCTGCCAAGCTTCTTAGGTTGACGAACCAACTTCTCGGCTGGCCAGAAGGGTGCGACCAAGAGCAGTAGTATGTTGCTGGTGGCCAACAGTTTCTGTATTACTTTTGGTAGCAGAGCTGGAAGGGGAAACCCTCCCATGATATTGCCAGCGCATCGAGGTCCCAAGCCTTGGGGTCTGGGATTGGTGATACGAACTTTGGAAGTTGGTTGTTGAACCTTGTGGCGAACAGATCTATTTGAGGCCGTGATAACGGGTAGATCATCGACTGAAAGATCTGGGGCAGTAACTTCCACTCTGGGGACGGTCGGTTGGATCGGGACAAGGCATCGGGGATCACATTTTTTACCCTGGGAATGTGTCTGGCTCTGGCTACGATGTTGAGTGAGTCGATGAGATGGAAGAACCTGATCGCCCATTGTAGCAGATTTGCCGAGCCTGTCAAGCCTAGATGATTTATATACCAAACCACTGTCGAATTGTCTGTCGAAACAGACTGGTTGATTGAAGCTCTGTTGCACAATGTGAGATGGCTTGAATTACCGCCTTGAATTCCAGCTCGTTTATATGAAGTACCCGTTCGTCAGATGACCACAGCCCGGCCACTTGGTG